GACCAACCGATTGCGTGACAACGACGCCTGACGATTCGGTCTGCTTCCACCTAATATCATGGAGGCGTGACTTCTCAGATCTAATTTCCTTTCCTCACTCGATTGCGTGACAATGACCCCTGACGATTCCGGAACCGGCTCCGGATGAAACATGTAAGGTCACCGCCGGACTTGACCATGCGTTATCGATACGGGCACGACGCCTGCTTTCGGGTTGAGATCGATGGGCTGTACTTCATTGATTTTCATTAAGCGCTTGTTAATGTCGCGTTCGGGAGACGTTGATGTGTACAGTTCTTCTTTCTATTCTTCCTTTCTCTCCTCTCTCTCTCTCTCTCTCTCTTTCTCTCCCTCTCTCTCCTCTCCCACTCTCTCTCCCCCTTTTCTTCTCTCTCCTCTGGTCTGTATCTGGTCGTCTCTGTCATGCTGGTGCTTGTACTTAGGCCTTTCAGCCGGCTCAGGATACGTTTTGTATGTCTGTGATGATGATGCTGTGCGAGTCTAACTCACCAACCGATTGTCCGTAGCCCATGTCTGCAAAAACCAGAGATAGCCTGTTTTCTTACTTTTGAAACACAGGTGCCAATCCGCTCCCACCGTTCTTGTGATGTTGAGACAAACTTGTCTCTTTTGTTCCTGTAAAGAGATCCTTGTGCCTATGAAAACCAGGGAATTTCTTGCCCTCCAGATCTCATGAAAGATGATCCCTCTACATACCAATGCTACATATCCCCAACCTTCCTTATAGGAGGTATTGTTTGCGGGTAGCAGACCATATAAAATCCAGTTATCCGACCAAGGCCACGTCCCGCCAGTAGCCTGATCCCAAAGGTTTATCCACCACATCCAGAGTTCGTCCACCAAAGGACAGAACAGCCATAAGTGAGCATTAGATTCTCAGCCCCACTGACATCTTTTGCAGGCAATCGACAACTTCATGCCTCTCAGCAAGAGCCAGAGTGAAGAAACCACTACCAACATTGATTGAAGCCACAGTAGACTTGCATCCTTCTCAAAAGGCAGACCCTTGAGACCTTTCCAAAATTTTCCCCCGTCCACGTTTGCAATCGCCCCATTGGATGCTTTTTTATTCTTTTGTTTGTCTGGTACTCTGGTTTTAGTTTTATTATGGACTGCAACAATTTTGTTCCTGTTTTGGAGGTACTGAATTTTGGGATACATCCTATATACAACTTATCAATCTTATGAATGCAAGTCCCTCATTAAAAAGGGTTTTAACGGATGGTCTTCCACAAGGAGCCAAATGGTCTATAGTTAGTCGCCGCATGTTCAAAACAACAATGAACATGTTTCAACCACCTGCCCTTACTCCAGAAAATAGTAAGGAAAAGGAAAATGCCAAACAATTGATAATAACAAAGATTTCACAACAGTCCCAGGATTCTTTAGAATTAAGGACAGAAGAACAACTCTCATCTTTAGAAGATATAAGAGAGGAAATACAAGAAAATATAACAAATATGGATAACAATGAGCAAGTGACTCTTCACTCACCTTTGCCTAACAATGGTCTAAAGGAAATTCAAGGGCAAACAATATATGGGGATATGAATGGACAGTTAATAACATTATCTAAACATATCCCTATTTCAAAGGACAAACAAGAAAAGATTTCAAAAGAACAAGAAATTATCTCCCAACAACAAGATGAGGGATATCAGTCAACGACCAACCAAGAATTGGAGTCAAAAGAACAAGAAAGGCCAATCCAACACCAGGAAGAGGGAACACAAATGAAAGATACACTCATGGAAGAAAATGACAAGACAGAGCAATCTACCCAAAAAAAACAAATACATACACAACAACCTAATCAAGAGAAAAGCCCAATGACAACTTAGATAGAAGGATCACTCATTTCTCATACAGGGTCAACACAGGAACAA